TAAAAGAGTGAAGACGAGCTGGTAAACATTGAACAAGTATACCAGTTTGTAGAAAATTGTTTGCTCTACAAGATCCAATAACTTGTCAAGTTCTAAACTACTCTAACCTGTATTATTCAAAGAAAAACGGTAACGCTGTGACAACAAAATTTTGATTAATACAGATTAATTAGAGTAGTTTCGAACTTGACAAGCTATCACATCTTGTAGAGCGAGCAATTTTAATCATCTAGTTACCATTTTAGATTAGTTTGTAGCTTTATTGCAATAACTTTTCGAAAAGAGCAAAAATGGAGGCCGGTAGCTGGACAAGCCGTCCGAATCTTGCGAGCCAAAAAGCAGTCCGTTCAAATGTCGGGTCGCTCAGGGTAATAGTAAAACATGCAGACACCCACAGACACCCGCAGACACTTACAGACACCACACAGACATCCACAGATGGCTGCACAGACATCTATGGATGTCTGTGTTTGGATGTCTGTGTAGCTGTCTGTGGTTGTATGTGTGCTGTTTGTGCAGCTGTCTGTGCTGCCTGTGGGTGTCTTCATGTTTTACTATTACCCGGGCCACTCATATGTCAGATGACGTTCTTATTGACACCCCTAGCCAAGTTTTTGCATGGAAGTATCAAAAGCTCCTGATTGACACTACCGGGAGCGCCAGTAGACGCACCTTTTTTAATTTTCTTTACCATTAGACCGCATACAAAAGTATTTTTCTGGATAAACGGGTTTACTTAAAGCGGTCAGTTGAGAAAAATTTGCAGGCATATCCGTGTTTAATACTTAAAAGTGCATTCCGAGACTCGAAAACACGTTCTTTTGCTGCCATACACCGTATTTTTCGCAACAAAACGTATTTTTCCTGGAAAAAAACGCCATGCAGCTCGTTTCAGTGAGCACTCATTTCTACTGACAAGACGCGAAAAGGCTTGTTTTGTCTTTTTTCGACTGACAAACGGACGAAACCGCGTATTTCTCAGAAACACCGCACTCCAGGCGTTGGCAGATGTAAATAAAATTTTAAATAAAGCGTCTTTCGTCGTATCTCTTTTTTGATTTAGTGACTACCAGTGGGGTTCTATATCCTTCACAATTCTGTGGGCAGTAGAACTTTCTTACGTGGGTTTAATATAATCAAACGTTTCAAATTTGGAATATATTCTTCTTGTTGTTTCAATTGAAATTGTCTAAGAACATGTTCAATATCTCTTGAACTTAATTCATTTAGAGTTAACGATTCTAAAGCGGTAAAAGTTTGATAATTTTGATGAAATACACCGTATTCTTTCAGATTACATCGAACTAAAACTAATGTTTGAATTTGGCTCAGTAAATTTGATGGTATAATTTGATGTTTGTATAGCAAAAGGCGTGATAAATTTTTACTACTACCATCAATTTCACAATGAAAACGAGGGCGATGATCGAACAGAAGTGAATTCAGTCTTTGATTTAAATTGTAAAAACCATAAAATACTTGGCCAATTTCAATGCATTCAAATACGATCATCAATAGCTCATTTGATAATAGTTCGAGTTTAGAGTTAGACATCTTTCGTCTGTAAGTGTGTGTATCTTAAATGAGAAAACTAAAACTAGAAAATATCATATTATATCCGTTAAGTCGATGAAAAA